CTGCTGGGTGCTTAGATACTACTTCTTTCCCAGCAGAGATTTAGAAAAACACATTTCTGGTATGTGCCTGTGTGGGAAAGGTTAAGGATTCCAGGAATCTTGCTTCTGGGTTTAAAAGTCTCACTGTATTGTTGTGGTTTATGTACATTAGGGTGACTGTAGCTTGTAAGAGCCTATGATATGTCTTCTGTATATATAAAAAGGTTAAATAGACTTCCGGTCAAGATGGTTGTGTAGGTAAACGCGGTATCGCGTCCTCCCACAACCACATCAAAGTTACAACTAAACTACAGAACAGCCATCATTCAAAACCGCCTGAAATCAAGCTGAATGGAAGTCCTACAACTACAGAATTAAAGCAGCAGCCGCATCCAGACTGGTAGGAGGGGCGGAGGCGTGAGGGGCGGCGGCGCGAAGGGCTGGTCCCACACTCAAGTGTGGCGGATAAAAATCAGGAGGATACGTTGTCTGGGAAGGTCCTTCCTGAGGACCGAGGGGTCCCCGTCCCACACCAGGTGCTTAGCTCAGTGTTCCAGTGCCAGGAAGAGAAGTGTCCATAACTTCTGGCTAGAAAAACCAGCGGGAACTGAGGCTCAGGGAGGCTGATGCGGCTGGAGCCCCAGGCAGCTCCTTAAAGGGCCCGCGCACGAACTTATCGGACTCTCTCCCTCTAAGCTTGGAGGGGAGGCAGCTTGAGGGGTGCCAGAGACATACAGGGAAGAACTGAGCTGTTTGGCATTGGAGTGAGGGCTGGAGAGGGGGCTTTCTCCCAGACAAACTTGCTGTAAGAGGCCTTTGTTCCTTTGGTGAGCCCTTCCCTGGGGCGGCAGACAGCTGCCATATCTGGGACTTCAGCAACCTGGCTCACACTGGTAGCCCTGCCCTGGTGACTCCCTGAGGCCCCGCCCTGCCCCACCCAACTTTCAAGCCCACCCAACTTTCAAGCCCACCCAAGCTGTTGCCACTTGCTTTACCATAGGATTGGCCTGTCTTGGATCCTGCTTCAGGTTTTTCCTAAATTCTTTCAAACAAGCAGCACCTGGTCTCAGCGAGCCCCATACCTCTCATTAAGTAACACTGTACACTGAAACAAACACAGGGAGGCAGCCAAAATGAGGAGACAAAGAAACAGGTCCCCAATGAAAGAACAGAACAAAACCCCAATAAAAGAACTAAGCGAAATGGAGATAAGCAACCTAACAGATACTGAGTTCAAAATACTGCTTATAAGGATGCTCAATGAACTCAGTGAGAACCTCAGTGAACTTAGGGAGGGCCTCAAGAGCATAAAAAAGGGCCAGTCAGAAATCATGGATGCACAGTTAGAATAGAAGGAGGCATTAACTGAAATAAGGAATAATTTACAAAGCTTCAATAATAGAGTGTGTAAATCCAAGGAGCAAAGCATCGATTTGGAATATAAGGAAGCAAAAAGTGCCCAATCAGAACAGCAAAAAGAAAAAAGAATCCAAAAAAATGAGGGTAGTGTAAGGAATCTCTGGGATAACTTCAAGCGTGCCAACATTCGCATCTTGGGGGTGCCAGAAGGAGAAGAGCGAGAACAAGAAATCGAAAACTTGTTTGAAACAATAAAGGCAGAAAACTTCCCTAACTTGGTGAAGGAAACGGACTCACAAGTCCAGAAAGCACAGAGAGTCCCAAACAAGATGAACCCCAAGAGGCCCACACCAAGACACATCATCATCAAAATGCAAAAGGTTCAAGACAAAGAGAGAATCTTAAAAGCAGCAAGAGAAAGGCAGTTAGTTACCTACAAGGGAGTTCCCATTAGGCTGTCAGCTGATTTCTCAAAAGAAACTTTGCAGGCCAGAAGGGAGTGGCAAGAAATATTCAGAGTGATGAAAAGCAAGAACCTACAACCAAGATTACTCTATCCTGCAAAGCTGTCATTTAGAATCGATGGCCATATAAAAACTTTCCCAGACAAGAAAAAGTTAAAGGAGTTCATCACCACCAAACCGTTATTATATGAAATGATGAAGGGTCTTTTTGAAGAAAGAGATAAAATATATGAACAAACAAAATGGCAATGAATACATATCTATCGACAATGGCATCTAAAACAAAATGAACAGGCAGAACAGAAACATTCTCATAGATACAGAGAACATTTTGTTGGTTGCCAGTTGGGAGTGGGGTTGGGGGAATGGGTGAAAAAGGTGAAGGGATTAAGAAGTACAAATTCATTGCTAGACTGACAAACCTCAAAGGGAAAGGGGTTGGGAGGTGGGAAGAAATAAACCAAAGAACTTATATGCATAACCAATGGACACAGACAATAGTGTGGGAAAAGGTGGGAGGGGGGTGGGTGTGGGGAGGAGGGAGGGGGTCAAGGGGGAAAAATGTGGAACATCTGTAATACATTCTACATCCAACAATAAAGATTTAAAAAAGAAAAAAAGGTTAAATCAGCCTAGCTAGTGTGGCTCACTGGTTGAGTGTCAACCCATGCACCAAGAGGTTGCTGGTTCGATTCCCTGTCAGGGCACATGCCAATACCTAACTGGGGGCATACAGGAGGCGGCCAGTCGATATTCTCTCTTGATGTTTCTCTCTAAAATCAATAAAGAAAAAATACTTTTTTAAAAAAAAGGTTGAATCATTTTCATTATGGTTTGTTGGTTTTTTGAAAGTTTATGATTCATATACTTTATCATTTTAACTCTCCATTAACTAGATTATCAGCCAGAATACTTCATCTCACATGATACTGGAAACTAAAACTTTTAAAGGAAACCTTTAAAGAAATTATAAAATAATACCTGTTGGGGGTGGGAAGAGATAAACCAACAAACTTATATGCAGATATATGCATAAACTGTGTGGTAAAATGGGGTGGGGGGGTGCCATTGGGGAAAAAGGAAGGGACATCTGTAATACTTTTAAACAATAAAGATAAATTTAAAAAAAAAAAACCTGTTTGTGCCCTGGCCAGTATGCTTAGTGGTTAGAGCATCGGCCCGTGGACCAAAGAATTGTGGATTCGATTTCAGTCAAGGGCATGTACCTCAGTTGCAGTTTGTTCGTCCATAGCCCTGGTTGGGGTCGTGTGGGAGGCAACCAGTAGATGTGTCCCTCTCACATTGATGTTTCTCTCTCCTTCTCCCCCCCCCATCTCCCTCCGTCCCACTCTCTCTGAAGATACAATAGAAAAATACCCTCGGGTGAGGTTTAAAAAAAACAAAAAGAAAAAAAAGTACCTGTTTGCCATAGAATGTTAAGAATCTGTAGAAAAATGTTATGAATTATTATTTTTTCTTTTTGTTAATCCTCACCTGAGGATTATTTTCTACTGATTTTTCCCCCTTTATTGATTTTAGAGAGAAAGGAAGTGAGAGGAAGTGAGAGGGAGAGAGAGATAGAAACATCGGTGAGAGAGAACATCCATTGGCCGCGTCCTGCATGTCCCCTACTGGGGATCGTGCCCACACCTGGGCATGTGTCCTGACCAGGAATTGAACTGGTGACCTCTTGGTGCATGGGTCCAAGCTCAACCACTGAGCCACACTGGCCATACTTTATGTACATTTAAAAAAATTTTTTATTATAATTTTTTTCTTCACCCGAGGACATTTTTCCATTTTTTTATTTTGTTGTTCAGATAGAGTGGGAGGGAGAGAGAGGATGACCGAGAGAGAGAGAGAGAGAGAGAGAGAGAGAGAGAGAGAGAGAGAAAGAGAAACAGAAACTTTGACGCGAAAGGGACACATCGAGTGGCTGCCTCCCACATGACCCAACCAGGGCCGGAAACAAACTGCAACGGAGGAGGTATATGCCCTTTGTGGGAACAGAACCCGGGTCTCTCTGTACCGCAGGCCGATGCTCTAACCGCTGAGCCAAACAGGCCAGGGCTCGTGTACATTTTAAAATCAACTTGTCTGCCAGACCTGTGTGGCTTAGTGGACTGAGCATTGTCCCATGGACTGAGAGGTCCTGGTTCGATTCCTGGTCAGAGCACATGCCCAGGTTTTGGGTTCAATTTCCAGTAGGGGGTGTGCAGTAGGCAGCCAATCGATGTTTCTCTCTCACATTGATGTTTTTATCTCTCTCCCTTCCTATCTCCAAAAAAACCCAAACAAGTTAATACTAAAAAATAAAAAATGTGTCCTGGCCTGTTTGGCTCAGCGGTTAGAGCGTCGGCCTGCGGTCCAGAGAGACCCGGTTTCGGTTCCCACTTAGGGCTCATACCTTGGTTGCAGTTTGTCCCCGGTCGTGGTTGGTCGTGCGGGTGGCAGCCACTCGATGTATCCCTTTCACGTTGATTTCTCTCTCTCTCTCTCTCCCTCCCACTCTATCTGAACAAAAAATGGGAAAATGTCCTCGGGTGAGGATAAAAAAATAAATAAAATAGCTCTGGCCGGTTTGGCTCAGCAGTTGGAGCATCGGCCTGCGGTACAGAGAGACCCAAGTTTGGTTCCCGCTGGGGGCACGTACCTCGGTTGCAGTTTGTCCCTGGCTTTGGTTGGTTGTGCGGGTGGCATCCACTCGATGTGTCCCTTCACATCGATGTTTCTCTCTCTCCCTCCCTCCTGCTCTATCTGGACAAAAAATGGAAAAATGTCCTCGGGTGAGGGGAAAAAAAAAAATAAATAAATAAAATAAATAAAAAATAAAAAATGTAAATAAATAAAATTAACTTGTCAATTTCTTTTTTTAAAAAAACTGGTGCAGGTTTTATTTTTAAAATTTTTATTTAATTTTATTTTGTTAATCCTCACTTGATATTTTTACCATTGATTTTTAGAGTGCGGGAGGGAGGGAGAAAGAGAGAAACAAACATCAGTTTGTTGTTCCACTATTTATGCATTCTTTGGTAGATTCTTAAATGTGCCTTGACTGGGATTGAACCTGCAACTTTGTTGTATCAGGATGATGTTGTAATGAACTGAGCTACCCAGTCAGGGCTCAATTTTCTTGTAATGATTTGTTTATATACTCTCCAGGCATCATGAGCCTAAGAAATTTTTTTTGTATTTCAGGTTCTAAATGGCTTCTAAGAAGTTGGGTGCAGATTTTCATGGTAAGTGGACTGACCATTAGATATTATGCTTTAAGTTTTGATTTGACCAGAGAATTTAAAATCATTTATTTAAGTACTCACAGCTTGAGAAAAATAAAATTGTACAACAAAGTAGTATATACATTCCCTAGGACTTCAGATAACTTTTATATACGTATGTATATATTTTTAGTTAGCCCTAGGAGAAACAGGCTCAGGAAGCAATTCCAGAGGTATAAGAATGGCTCTTGAAGCTTAGGAGAAAGAGAAAGGCAAGGAAAACACACCTGGGGGAAGGGGGTGGGGAAAGGCCCGGGAGAGCTTGGGGGAGAGGAGAGAGAAGAGAGGGAGGGAGGGAGGGAGGGAGGGAGGGAGGAAGAGCGAAGGAGAGAGAGAGAGAGCTTAATATATATTTTTTATTTTGGATTTTTTTTTCAATTATAGTTTACATTTGGTATTATTCTGTATTAGTTTCAGACGTACAGTATAGTGGTTAGACAATCATATACTTTACAAGGTGGTCCTCCCTGATCCCTGATATTTCAAGTACCCACCTGGTCCCATACATAGTTATTACAATATTATTTACTAAGTGCCTGATGCTGTAATTTACATCCATGTCACTATTCTGTAACTACCAATTTGTACTTCTTAAACCCTTCACCTTTTTTACCCAGCTCTCCAATTCCTCTTCTGTCTGGCAACCATCAGTCTATTCTGTTATCTATAAGTCTGTTACTATAGGTAGCTTTAATATTGAAGTAGTTCCTCAAATAGATAGTTGAGTCTCTCTATGGTTATTGTATTTGAAACTACCAGAGGTGTTTGAGGAGGCTTCCTATTTTTGTTGTTCCTTTTTAAAAATTTTTATGTTTGTGAATCCTCACCTGAGGATATTTTTCCATTGATTTTTAGAGTGGAAGGAAGGGAGGTAGAGAGGGAGACAGAAAGAAACAGAAACAGAAACATTGATGTGAGAGAGTACACATTGACTGATTGCCTCTTACATGACTCCACCTGGGCCGAGGATCAAAGCTGCAACCTAGGTACGTGCCCTTGACCAGTAATCAAACCTGAGACCCTTTGGTGCTCAGGATGATGCTCTAACCATCGGACCACACTAGCCAGGTCTTTGTTCTTCTTTACCAGTATTTTGAAGTATTTGTCATTCTCTGGTCATAGCTCTTCTTCATCTCAGGTGTGAAAAATTCTAAACCTTTAGTTAATACTTTATAATATTTTGGTTTAGTTGCCGTGCCCCAAAGGAAGTGATAGACTACAAATAAGCCATGATCACAGATTGATATATAGAAATATCAATAGTAGTAATGAACAGTTTTGCATTACAGACTAATAGTTCACCATCTTTTTCTAAGACGACTTTAAAATACTTTGATTATATGCATTTGGGAGAAATGGCGTTGCCTAAGAAGTTACAATTAGAGATTTTTTTCATAAAGGATAAGAAAGATAAGAATCAAACACGAGAAATATCCAAACACAATTGTTTTTTAATATTTTTTTTCTTTGATTTTAGAGAGAGAGGAAGGGAGAGTGAGAGTGAGATAGAAACATCGATGAGAGAGAACATCGATTGGTCACCTCCTGCATGCTCCCCATGGGGTTTGGGCCCACAACCTGGGCATGTGCCCTGACCTGGAATCAAACCAGCGACCTCTTGATGTATGGGTCAGTGCTCAACCACTGAGCCACACCAGCTGGGCAACACACTTATTTTTAAAGGGGTTTTAAAACTGATTTTCCATTTTAAAAATCATGTCAATTTAGGAATGATTTGCTAAACAATTTGGCACCATGTGTTGATCTGCTTATCTGATCATTGAGGTTGTTTGATAGTATCACTCTGCTGAGTCAGGGTGGAGCAGCAGTCACTGTGGTGTTAACTTGTTTATATACCTTATACAACAGCTTTAATATTTTGAATCACCATTGTACATATTCATTACTTGCATATATTTTGTTAAATCCCTTCCGAGTTAAGTCACTCAAACTCTGGATTTTGCATTTTATTTAACAGGTCAGGCATCGGATTTGCCAGGTAAGTTATCCTACTGTTGAAGGATTATTACAAGGCTCTTTCAAAGTACAGTAGTAAAGCACTGCCTAATGATGTTTTGGTTAACAACAAATCAAATATAGGATGGTGGTCACATAAAATTATAATGGAGCTGAAAAATTTCTATCACCTAGTGATATAGTCGCTGTCATAATGTAGCACAACAATGAATTACTCATGTTTGTGGTGATGCTGGTGTAAACAAGCCTATTGCACTGCCACTGTATTATAATAGTATAGCACATACAATTATATTCAGTACATAATATTTGATAATGATAGTAAACAGCTATGTTACTGTACTATACTTTTTATTGTTATTTTAGGGTATATTCTTTATATAAAAAAGTTTGCGCCCTGGCCGGTTTGGCTCAGCGGTTAGAGCGTCGGTCTGTGGTCCAGAGAGACCCAGGTTCGGTTTCTGCTAAGGGCGCGTACTTCGGTTGCACTTTGTCCCTGGCCCTGGTTGGGTCGTGCGGGTGGCAGCCACTCGATGTGTCCCTTTCACGTTGATGTTTCTCTCTCTCTTCTCTCCCATTCTATCTGAACGAAAAATGGAAAAGTTTCCTCAGGTGAGGATAAAAAAAAAAAAAGTTTGCCATAAAACAGTATGTCCTGTTATGCTGGGAGCAGCCTCAGACATCTCATGTTCACTGCATCTCTTGATTGCATTATTTTCTCTTGTACTTGATTTAATCTTGTGTTGTTTTGCTCATCATGGCCCCTAGTATACAAAAATCCACTGTTAATGTTACTAGTAAGCAGCCACATTGAGTGATTGATCTAGAAATGAAATTGAGTGATCATATAATCATGAAGAACAAGAGCAAAGTGATAGAATCTGTTAAACGATCTTCTTTATTGATGGCAATAAGACATAACAAGAATTTTTTTTTTATCCTCACCCGAGGACATTTTTCGATATTTTGTTCAGATAGAGTGGGAGGGAGAGAGAGAGAGAGAAAGAGAGAGAGAAACATACATCGACGTGAAAGGGATACATCGAGTGGTTGCCACCCACACGACCCAACTAGGACCGGGGACAAACTGCAACCAAGGCACATGCCCTTAGCGGAAACTGAACCCAGGTCTCTCCAGACCACAGGCCAACACTCTAACTGCTGAGCCAAACCGGCCAGGGCTTAACAACAATTTGAGAAGGACTTATATCAGACATGGAGACACTTCTAATGACCAGACATATAAGTGTATCTACCTTCTCAGCACTGTGATGATCATGGCCAAAGAAGAAGTTTGTTTGCAGTGTTGAAAGAAAAGACTGGACTTGACTACAATGTTGAATTTACTGGTAGCTCTGGGTAGTTTAAACTATTTAAGAATTGTTATTCACTACATAATGAAAAAATAAGTGGTGAGTCTGAGAACGCTGATGTGAAAGTAGCTGAAGAATTTTTGGAAACTCTAGATATGCTGATTGTGGAAGAAAATTACTTGCCAGAGCAAATATTCAATGTGGATGAAAGCTCCCTATTCCAGAAGCAGATGCCTAAAGAACTTTCATGTATTAAGGAGACCAAGTCAGTGCTACGTTTCAGGGCTTTTAAGAACAGAACAGTCTTGCTTGGGGGCTACAAATTAAAACCCTTTGTGATCTGGCACAGTGAGAACCCCAGAGCACTCAAGCCTATCAATAAGCACACACTGTAGTGTACTACAGAAACAGTAAGAAATCATGGATGACTAAGCTCCTCTTCCAAGACGTTCTCCTGGATTGCTGTGCCAGCGAAATGGAGAAGTACTATTTGGAAAATAACGTATCTTTCAAGGTTTTGCATAATGCTGGTAATGCTTCTGTCCATTCTCCTTTTATTGGTGATCTTTGTCCCAAAATAAAATCTCCCTCTAAATACCACTGTTTGATATGATCAATGGGTCAAGTAGTTATAGTAGCTTTTAAGGCCTAGCCCCTGAGGAAGACCTTTGTCTAGGCTTTTTCTGCAACCGAGTAAGACACTGATGCAGTTCTGGAAGGATGACAACACCTATGACTGCATCAAGAACCTTGCTTGAGCTTCAGCTTGGGGTGGTGCCACCAAGGAGTGGATGAATAGCATCTGGAAGAAGACACTCAAGAGGTTCATCTGTGACTTAAAAGGATTTACCAAGCATGAGGAGGTTGCAAAAAATCAACAAACTGCGTTTGAGATGGCAAACAACTTTACCCTGGTGTGGGTGAGGACGGACATTGAGAAGCTCCTGGAAGGTGCTTCACCATCTGAGCCACCCAGCTAGAGCAATTGACTAATGAGGAGTTGTTGGAACTGGAACAGGAACACATAGCTGAAGAAGAGGCAAGAGAAAGTGAAGTTGCAGAAGAAAAAGACCCCCAAGAAAATTTATAGTGGAGGGTTTAGCAAAAGCTTTGTAGACTATAACAAACTCCTTAAAAAGTTGAAAACATGGACCCTAATACTGCAGGGTTTTCATTCATAGGAATGTTTGTGGTGCATTTTCTGGTTAGAAGCAAATCTGATGGAAAAAAGAAACAAACCATGCAAACCCCCATGAACATATTTCTGAAAAGAATGACGCCTCCTCAAGAAGAGCGTGAGGCAGGTCCTTCAGGAGGTATTTTAGAAGGCAGCATTGTTATTACCATAGGAGATGACAACTCTATGTTTGTTATTTCCCCTGAAGACTTTCCAGTGGAGCAAGATGTGGAGGTGGAAGATAGTGATGTTGATGCTCCTGATGATCTTGTGTAGGCCTAGGCTAATGTGTGTGTTTGTGTTTTAGGTTTTTTTGTTTTGTTTTGATTTTAATTCTCACCTGAGGATATTTTTTCCATTGAGTTTTAGAAAGAGTGGAAGGGAGGGAGGGAGGTGGGGGAGAGAGAGACAGACAGACAGACAGATAGGCATTGATTGGTTACCTCCAGCACTCACCCTGACTGGGACTGGGGAATGAACCTGCAAACCCAGGTATGTGCAACCTAGGTACATGCCCTTGATGGAGAATTAAACCTGAGGCACTTTGGTACATGGGCCAATTCTCTAACATTAAACTACACTGGCCAGGGCTTAATTGATTTTAGAGATAGAGGAAGGTGGAGAGAGAGAAACATTGATGTGAGAGAGAAACATCTGTCAGTTGCCTCCTGTACTTGCCCTGACTGGGATCGAACCTACAGCCTGGATATGTGACCTCACTGGGAATCAAACCCACAACGTTTTGGTGCATGGGATGATGCTCCAACCATCTGAGCCACCCAGCTAGAGCTGTGTCTTAGTTTTGTTTTTTCATTTTTTTTCTTTATTGATTTGAGAGAGAGGAAAGGAGAATGAGAGAGAGATAGAAACATGGATGAGAGAGAACATCGACTGGCTGCCTCCTGCATGCCCTCCACCAGGGATCGGGACCACAACCCAGGCATGTGCCCCAAATGAGAATTGAACCAGTGACCTGGTGCATGGGTTGACCCTCAACCACTGAGCCACACCAGCCAGGCTGTGTCTTAGTTTTTAACAAAAAGTTTAAAAAGTAAAAAAATAAAATTTAAAAATAGGGTAAATCTTATAGAATTAAGTATAAATAAAATATTTTTGTATAGCTGTACAGTGTATTTGTGTTTTAAGTGTTATTACAAGAGTTGAAAAGTTAAATTAAAAAGTTTATAAAGCTAAAAAGTTACAGTAAAGCTAAGGTTAATTTATTATTGAAGAAAGAAACATGTTTGTTTGTTTTTATCCTCACCTGAGGACATTTTTCCATTTTTTTGTTCAGATAGAGTGGGAGGGAGAGAGAGGAAGAGAGAGAGAGAGAGAAATATCAACGTGAAAGGGACACACATTGAGTGGCTGCCTCCTGCACGACCCAGCCAGGGCTGGGAACAAACTGCAACCGAGGTACCGAACCCAGGTCTCTCTGGACTGCAGACTGACGCTTTAACTGTTGAGCCAAACTGGCCAGGGCAAAAAGAAACATTTTTAAATAAATTAAGTGTAGCCGAAGTGTATAGTGTTTATAAATTCTACAGTAACGTCCTAGGCCTTACATTCACTCACCACTCACTGACTCACCCAGAACAATTTTCAGTCCTACAAGCTCCACTCATGGTTAGTGCCCTATACAGGTGTATCATTTTCTGTCTTTTACACCATATTTTTTTTGTACCTTTTCTACATTTAGATAAACAAATATTTACCATTGTGGTATAGCTGCCTACAGTATTCAGTGCAGTAACATACTGTACAGATTTGTAGCCCAGGAGCGGTAAGACTATACCATATAACTTACATGTGTAGTCGGTTGTGGTATCTAGGTTTGTGTGAGTGTACTCTATGATGTTTGTACGTGATTAAATCACCTACCAATGAATTTTTCAAATGTGTCTGTGTTGTTAAGCTATCTATGATTGTATTGAAAATGATAGTTAGAGATCTGAAGTTATCTTTGGATCCCTTTTTCAGGGGAAAAGAGGATAGACCCAAGGCCAGAGAGCAAAGGCCTAGTGAGAGTAAATAGCAAAAATTAAAAATTTAAACTTATAGTCTTATTTTAAAATAAAAGCTTTCTATCTTGAACCTTAGGGAACGCCTTTTTTTTTTTTTTTTTAATCCTTACCTGAGGACATTTTTGCATTCATCTTCAGACAGAGCGGGAGGGAGAGAGAGGAAGGAGGAGAGAGAGAGAAACATTGATGTGAGCGAGGCAACACATGGACTGGTTGCCACCCACACGACCTCACCCGGGGCTGGGGACAAACTGCAACCGAGGTATGTGCCCTTAGCGGGAACTGAACCCAGGACTCTCTGGTCTGCATTCTGACGCTCTAACCGCTGAACCAAACTGGCCAGAGTGGGAACTTTTTTTTTTATTGGAGTGAAAATAAGTTGGACCCCAGATTGTGTGTTTCATTTAATTTAGAGAGATTATAATTCTGAAGTTATCTGATTAATAAAGGATTTTTTAGAACTTTGTCTATCTTCTTATATTTCTAACCAAAATTTTATTGTTGAATT